ATTAGCATTGAACTGTAGACCTAAGTAGTATAGAACCCCATTCTTATGAATAATCGAGAATAGCCCGACGATAAAAATAAACAAAATGGAGATCCCAGTAAATTCTGACCAGCAATTCCCTTCATAAATGACACATCCCTTCCCCCCATAAATCAGTAAGAAAAATAGTCAAGTATGGTGGCTGCGTTTATTGAAAGGATGCGACGAGCGTTATCGAACTTCTTCTTGGTAATGAACCTCCAGGGAAATAAGAGAGGATATTTGAACGCTAATACAGATCGAATGAGATTGCTCGTTTTCACGAGGAGCTAAGATTTCCTTGTTTCTTGCAAACTTCTTCATTCCTTTTCGATCATTTTTTCCTCTCTCCCTCCGATAATTTAAATCAGTTCGATTTTCAGGGAGGGCCTGAGGTAGGCGAGTCGATATTCGAGGCAAACCGACGGATTAACTTATAATCTGATTGCACCCCGCAGACGACTCGGGTATTGATTTCATCAAACTTCCGTTAATGGCGATCCTTTTCCATCAAGGATTCCCGGGAAATCCGGAAGAATACCGATATGGATTACCTTTCGTTAAAAAATACCGTGGGAAGCAATTTTTATTTATAAAATAATGACTTGTTGGTTCTTGGCATCGTTAAAATCTTTTTTCTTTTCTTTTTTAAGAACACTTTGATTGGCCTTGTTTAAAGATTTTTTTAATTTTCAGGTTCTTAAGTTTTAGGGCTTGATTAATGCTACAAGTAGTATAGGTCAATGGATAGTCAGAATTCTTCTTTTAAGACAGGTTTATTCTACCCCCTGGTAAACTGAATAATTAAATTGCTCTTTCATCTGAAATAAAATAATTTCTCTCAAATAAAAACTGGGCCAACATTTTTAAAAACTTCGTCCATTATATTCATTCCCTTCGTCTGATTGCGGGATCTAGAATTTCAGCTCCTATCAATCTCTTTTCTTTTTCTAAATAATTCCGACATTATTTTCGCCCGTTAAAAGCGGACCTTTTCAACACACCTGTTTTCAGTTCGGATATAAAATATAACAATGGAAAGAAAAAGCTTTTGAAATTGTTGGAAAATTTTCGGATGCCAGTTACATTCAATTTAAATATCAATATTTCAGCAAAAATTAATATTTTCCTTCTCTTTCTATGGCTACCAATAAAATATCAGTTTTGTGCCATACAGACTGCACTAAAGAAAAAATGAATACGCTTTGTGCTATGCTTTTATGTTCGCATAAAAAGCAAAAACGATTAGGGCAGGGGTGGGAGATGGTTTGATATGTAAAGCACTCGGCCGTGTCGTGAAAATGAAAAAAGCAGAGGATAAATAAAATAAAGCTGCTCGCGAGGTCTTTTCCAGATAACTTTAAAAAATATTCGTATTTCTCTTGGGAAAAGTAATTTCGATGGTACTCCTTTTTTTTCCTGTTCACGGGACGAGAGAACGTTCGATGAATTCGATACCCCATGAGACGAACCTCGTTGAAAATGTAACCTTGAACAAAAACCTACGACTGGTTCTCGGGAAGGGCAACGGGAGAATTCTTCCGCCTCAATCGTCGACGGGAAATAGAAAAGCTGTGATCGTGATTGCAATATCTCACGACGAGTTTTCATCGTTTACTAATTTCTTCTCTCAAAATTTTTCCGGTAAACGTTATTCTATTTCAAGAAGGGCATAACATAATGTTAGTTACCAAGTTTCATTGTTATAGGTTTACGCGTTTAGGAGATACGAGCGTAAATGTGGTGATATGCCATCCTTGCATATCACCTGAGATAGAGAGTCCGGTATAATTTCATCACATAAAAGTATTCGTAAATAGCACTTGTGGCATATCAAATTAAAGCTTAAGGTTTAAGGAAAATAACTACGTAAACGTTTTATTGATATTCCTAATACAAAATGGCTGGTCCGTAATTGAAAAAAAGATAATGAGTTAATCAACCTACAATAATGCATATCAAATCTTCAATCGGTTATAACTCAGTCTGAAGAAGGAATATCAATGAAGCATTTGTGTAATCATTTTTTATAAATTTTAAACTTTAAATTGATATGCGATATGTGGTATTTTGTAATACTTTCTATGTTTCAAAATTCACCACTTGATATGCAGTAATTCAGTACTTAAATAAAAGTTGAAAATAATTAAAGTCTCGATAAAAACGAGTAGAAAGAAACATACAGAAAACATGAAGTTTTTTAGAAAGTAGTAAAAGAATCGCCATAGGACTAACAGTTTGGACAAATATTAAGTTTGTTTGGAAAGTCGTTTATCGACGAGATTGGAGGGGTTCGAGCCGCAAAATCTTGTTGGATTAAGTAGGAAAACCGTCCCCTAAAAGGGGCCAGAGGATGAGAAATGATCCCATTGTGTCGTGAAAGTTTTCCAAAGGCCGAGATGGCTCTACTCGCCGAATGCAATTCCAGCCAACTTCCGATTTCCTATTTAACCAATCATCTTCAGACTTTAATATCTCTGTTTCCTGCGTAAACTGTGTCGCTGAACAAACCCTGGAAACTAAAAAAAGAAAAAAAAAAGAACAATTAGAAGACCTATAATTCAATGTTTCTGTTATCCAGAAGGAAATCAATGCATTTAAATAAGGGAGGGAGAGAAAAAATCCGAATGAAGAAGAGAAATTTTTATGAAATTTTAAAGCTTCGTTAGTGAAATACGAAGGGAAGGAAAATTCTTTCCACGAAATTTTGTTATATAATAAATTTTTATTTTTAACAAATATTGTAGTAATCTGATGTTAGAGAAGTCTGCAACTTATTGCGTGCAGTTTGAAATAAAAAGGAAAGTTTGAAATAGTTGATAGAAATTACCCAGTGGATCATGATTTTGCAGTTGAAAATATTTGGCTGGGTGAAAAATATTTGAGAATCCCACGGACTCGTTTAATCAACTCCGCCGCATAGAAGGGGGTGAAAGTATTTCTAGTGAAACTCGAAAAATTAATATCGAAAAAACATTCTCCCCCGTCTCGCGAGAATTCCTTAACACCGCCGAAAAGCTTGCCAGCGAAAACTTTCGCGTGCCTGAGGTACGATATTTCATAGCGGAACATTTGTCTCGTTGAAAACGAGAACCACGTCGACGCAGAAATTACGTTCTGTCACTTGCAGTAGTATTAACATGTCTTTGATCAGACCATTCAGTAGAACAGCAGTGAAATATTTCAAACGTGTGAAACTTTTTCATTTATTCGGTGACATTTAAAGATTGAATCGTTATTTTAAATAAATTTTCGAATAACCTATATATAAGGGACAACAAAGGGTCTAGCCCTATAAGCATAGTGAATTGGCCCCAACAACAATTTCGGTTGATATTTACACCACATAATGCCTTTTGCCTAAAGAACAACTGTGACCAATTTCAACCCCCTACTCCCACTAATAAGGGAATATAAGGGCAATTACCCTAAACTTTACTATTTTTCTCTTGAAAACTGTTTAAGATATTTAAACACACTAAGGTACAAATAGTAAGTACTCATTATATATTTTTTTTCAAAATTCTTGTCCGACGATTAAGGGTTGAAAATTAATAAATAAATTTTTGCAGTTGACCTATGTAAATAAATTTCCTAGATAAACGTGTCCTATGTCGTCAGTGTCTCCAGTTAAGTGACGATACAAATATAAAGAAGAAGGATAATCCCTTTTGACTTACGGAAGCGTCTTTCAAGCAGCTTTAAAGCCATCCCTCAGCTGGGTTGGAAAGGTGCGAGAAGGGCGTCTTAAAGAAGAAAAGTGGACGTGAAAAATAACACGAAGAAAATGGAAGCACGTTTGTTGGCTAGGGAATCGGGATGACTGGGGTGGCGGGGGTGGCTGGTTGTGGGTGTAGTCGACTGTATCCTTGGGGATAGCGCATACAAATCGTTGGTCTTTCGAGGGAAAGCGCATTTATGCACTCCACGAAACGATGGAGTTTCATGGACGCAGCCAGGAACGACCTAACCCAGTTTTGTTCGCAAATCCTGCTATTTGTCGATCGTGCTTGGGTCTGTCGTAATTTCCGACGACGTCACGCGATTCTTCGACCAAAAATGAGGAAAAAATCTTTAGGGAAGTTTCCTCGTTCGAGATCACGTTTCCGAGAATGATGGGATTTAACATTTAGGTAGATGACGCAGTGGTTCTCATCCAACCTTACGTTTTTCTCTTTCAAAACTGTTTAAGTTTACAGAACTGAGCTAGATCTTCAAATATTAATCAGAACTTAATTATTCGTCGCAGTGGTTCTCATCTCATCTGTTCATTTTTTTAGTATTATTTATGAACATGGTTTTTAAATATTGCTCTGTAAACATTGTTGTTCTCTATGTTTAAGTTTACAGAACTGAGCTAGATCTTCAAATATTAATCAGAACTTAATTATTCGTCGCAGTGGTTCTCATCTCATCTGTTCATTTTTTTAGTATTATTTATGAACATGGTTTTTAAATATTGCTCTGTAAACATTGTTGTTCTCTATGTTTAAGTTTACAGAACTGAGCTAGATCTTCAAATATTAATCAGAACTTAATTATTCGTCGCAGTGGTTCTCATCTCATCTGTTTATTTTTTTAGTATTATTTATGAACCCAGCATGGTTTTTAAATATTGCTCTGTAAACATTGTTGTTCTCTATGATCTGTGAAATCAAACCTTTTATTTCTTGCACAATGGAGAGTTTAATTGCTTCTACCTTTTCATGTTTCTCGGAGAATTTAATATTTTCATGAACACGTAGCTTCGTTGTTTTCTTCTTTCATTTCACCGTGAAAATTTAATATTTTTCTGCTTTCCTTTCCATCTCGTTTCCCTTTGAAAACTGAATACTGTGCGCGTGTCAGGGGTATTAACGGAATTCCGAATAATTTAATGCTGAATTATGATATCGCATCACCATGGAAGAGTAAATTTATTTTTAACATTTATTTTATTATTTATTTGTTGAATCGCTATGCTAATAAATTTCATTTTGCAGGTGGTGAGAGCAGCCAGTCCAGTTCTCCTTCGTGTCATCGTGCTCGGTGCATTCTTTATTTATTGCACGGTAAGTAACTTATTAAAATTCATAAGAAATTGTGAAATTAATGAAAAGTTATTGCATGTTTCTTTAGAATTTTTCAAATGAACGGTTCTTTAAAACTCTTCATGAAAAGCAATAAACATTGTCAATAAATATTTGTCAATATTGTTCTACCATCGAGGAAATATTTCATATTCACTAAATATTAAAATCGACAAACTCTTCAGCATTTACTGAATAAACATTTTCGAATATCGTCAATTATTAACTGATCCCCCAAACATCGAAATTTATATGAAATAATACAAGTTATAATAAACAGGAATATAACATTTCAGAACCAACATTAACCAGAATAAATATTAAAACAATCTTCAATTTCAGAATCATGAACGATATCAATTTTCAACTACAGTTTATCTCAATGTTAGTAATATTAACATTAAAAATAATCTAGAGAACAAATAATATAGTTTTTAATTATTATATATTATAAAATTCAGTATACAACTGAAAAGTACGAATAAAGAACTGAAAATCAATTCAAATTTTTCCGCGTAAGCGTTTGTGCGCCAGTGGTGGGGGGCGACGAACCTATAAACATGAGACCGCGTTCGCTGCGCTTTCATTCTCCCCGGAGACGTCTCCGAGGAAGGATGGGAGTTCGGGGCATTCCCATCTTCCCTGGGAAAATCTGATTAAATCGCAAGTGTACTATTATAAAATTATTAACATAAGAATATATTGGTTTCTTAAAATCCCCCACCTTCTAATTCCCTAATAATAGAAATTTTCCGAATATCCCGGTACAGCACGTTTCAATGATGCTACATTATTTATAAGGTTCAAGTACAGTATCGACAATCGCTATAGCTAATTTAATCGAGTAAGCGACGATGATGGGCATTAAAGTAACAATTGGCCGTTTCGTTCAGTGGCTTTTATCCAATAATCGAGAGGGCCCTTTTTCTCGGTTAGATCGCGAAATATATACGATCCATCGACACGAGAGGCAGCATGGTAAAAGGTGAACGAAGAGGATCTAATTGGAAATAGTCGCTTAACCTGGCACGCGATTCTCTGATCGGCTAGGGAAATTATTCTCTCGATTATAGCTGATTATCATCACGCGATACGTAGCGTGAAACGAGGCAGAAATATTCTGGAAAATTATCGTCGAAAATATAATTATGTTGTTCAAGTGTATTCAGATGAAAGATAGGGTGTTTATTGATTTTCCAATCCAATTATTTTATTGCTGAAAAATATTTTCAGTTTTAGTTAATAGTTATGATTGCAGCCTAGAGACATTTTTTTTTCAGTTATGCTACGGTAAATTTGATCTAGGGACATTTTAGCTTTTGTAATAGATTGAGAGGTTTCATTGTATTTGATTTTCCACTATCCATTATGCAATAATAGAAACGAAATTAGATACAATGTTGAATCGTTAGTGGTCATGATTTTAATTCCACAGTACTTGTACAGTATCCACTTTGGTTTATAATTTCTAGTATTATTGATGTTTCACTCTGCTTCTCTCTACGCAATTCCCTAAATTATTCGAACCGTGTATAAACGTGGATTATTTGATTCAATCTGTAACTGGTGAATTGGAATTTAACATATCCCTATTTATCCAATTAATTATCAAGGATTAAAAATTGATAAAAATCACTTAGAAAATAAATGATTTATTTTCACTTGCCTCCCTCTAAATTTAATTAATTTTCAATTTTTCGTGTTACTTCAAGAAAATAACTATAATATTTGCCATGTTTGAACGGAAATCGATAAAAGAAAAATATAGAAAGTTAGAGTCCGAGAATATTAGTTTTATTCTTGACGCAAGTTGTACTTGGAAGTGGCTGTTTTTCTTGCGATGTTGGAACACCTGTATCGATATTGTTAGAAATTTTGCACTGGCAAGAAGAAACTTTATTTCTTGGCAAATCAGATTTATCCGTTGTGCGTGTTTCACGTTGACTACGATAGAAAAAAAGAGGGTGCGAACTTAAAGCAATTTATTTGTTTCAGACGATAGTAATGTACCCCCGTCCAAACGTTATAACGTGCACGGTACGAGTATGGCTGCGAGAAATTGGATTCTCCCTCACCTACGGCGCCTTAATGCTCAAAACTTGGCGGTAAGTAAGAGTAACGACGTTTCAAATGTTGTTTAACTTTCCACTCGAAAATTTCGAGCAAGCCCTGTTTGTTTAACAAATGAAAATCTTGCGTCAGAGAACTTGGAGGAGAACAAGTGTTATTACGTGCTAAGGGCTACTATACATGTATGCGTTTCATAGTGTTTCCATATTGAGAAAATGAAATTCTACCCTGTAAATTAACTCAGCTGTTTTGGAGAAATTTTGAATCATTTTCCATGATTCAGTGGAAAATTTATTGCTGGGTGTTAGAAATATTTGGTACTATTGTAAATAATTATATTGTTTTAGAAGACTTTTATGAGTTTTGAGATGGAAAATTTCTTTGTGATTTTCCTGAAGATTTTCCATAACTTGGATAATTTTCCATAAATTAAAAAGATTTTCCTATGATGTGGAGAGGTTTTCCATGGCTTAAAGGGATTTTTCTATAACTTAGAAAACTTTTCCATGATTTAAAACATTTCTGTAATGAATTTTCCATTTTCTAAGGACGTTCACTATAATTTCCAAGTATTTTCCAAAACTTGCTACATCAATTATTCCTCAACACCACTGTCACCCTACATAAATGATCATTCAAACCCTATCTTCGTCAGGATGGTCCCCAGAGTTGTATAAAAATTTCAGCCAACATATTCCACCCCCAAACCTAGCTGAAAGAGAAGCATTATTAATTAAATTATTTTAAAAGGCAGGGAAAACATTTATACCGTAGTAGTTACCGATTCTGCGCTCGGAAATCCTCACATTTCGGTTAAATAAATAAATGTATTAAGTTAGGAAAGGGATTTATCGTGGGAACGGTGGACAGGAAACGTGGCAAAGGGGAGGACGTGTGCTTGGCCCAAAGCTTTACTCGTTGAAACGAGAGCATCGGTCTAACTGGCTAACGGATTCGAGGGTCGAAACTGGAACGAAGTTTTTTTTCTCTTGTATTCAACTGACAAAGAGCGAAGAGCGGTGGGACGGAGGGGTGGTCGATGAGAGAGACTGGGGGATGAAAGTCGTGGGCAATCTTTGTCCTGGAATCTGCGCATCGCCGGAAATCCTGCAACTGCTCGAAAATAGGGTTCTCGTGGGAAGGGACGAAGAAAGACGAGAAGCGGGGAGTTACACACTCATTGACCAACGTTCGCTGAAAACTTTTGACCTCGTTCTATGCATCTCAGCCGGGTTTATCATTGAAAATCTATGGACAGAACAGGAAGAGGAATGGCACAGTCCAGTACAGGCCGTTGAAAACGATTGTTTCGCAGTGACCCAGTGGACAGAAGTATGGAATATCTGTTTGATCTGTGGGATAGGTGTTGTAGTCTTGGGAAAATCTTTTTTAGTCATGAGGAAATCTATTTGAGTCATGGAAAATCTCTACCGTGCCCTGGAAAATTCTTTTGAGCTATGGGAAATTTTTCCGGGTCGTGGAAGATTCTTTTGAGTCATGGAAAATTTTCCCGAGTCGTGGAAAATTCTTTTGAGTCATGGAAAATTTTCCCAAGTCGTGGAAAATTCTCCTGAGTGGTGGGAGAAGTTCTTAACTCGAAGAAAATTTCTTTGAACCATGGAAAGTTCTTAAGAGTCTTTGAAAATTCTTCCAAGTCGTGGAAAAATTCTCTTGAGTCATGGAAAATGCTCCTGGGTCTTGAAAAGTTCTCCTGAGTCGTGAAAAGTTTCCCCTCGTGATGGAAAATTCGTTGTAAAATCCAGAACCATCCATAAAATTTTCGATACGTATACCTTTTCGTGAATCCGTCAGTTTCTATCCTTCTTTATGTCTGTTTTATGACTAAACAGTGCGGTCTTCAACGAAGATCGATCAGTTTCACCTAACAACCCCAGAAAATTCTTAACCGAAGTACCATCTATTCCTTCTTCCTCTTATTTCAATGTCAGACACTGAACAGTCTTTAGCAAAAGTTGGCCAAAGTCAGGTGAACAACGATAAACTGTCAGAAGTCCTATAGGAAATTGATTGATCCTTGGGGAACGTGAAACCGGTACCCAACGTCAAAGGCACTTCGATCTACGGTTGGAGATCACAGGAATTCCAAGAGGGATGTCCAAACTTTTCCCGCCTGTCAACAACTTCTCATGGTAACTCCTTAATCGGTCGAAGTGCTGTTTCGAGCGGGCAAGGCAACCAGGTCAGCCGGTGGTACACGCGTAATTGTAGAGCGATACCATAGGCAGATGAACGGTTCTCAGGCCAATAGTGTGTATTGTCTGGGTAATCAATGATCACTAGGTAGGGATGCAATCTGAGACTGTTTTGCCCTGTGCCTTTTCATCAATCGGCTGTCTGCGCGAAGTCAAGATCAATAAATCCACGACGGATGAACGGTGTCCCGAATCCCCGACGAGCGGTCGATGAATAGTCGCGGTCCAGGTGTAAATTTGAAGGTGATTTTGATTGGACTGATGATTGGTGTTGACACTTCGCATTATGCGCTCATCCTGATATAGCACAGGGCCATCCCCAATGCCCTGGGTGACTGTGTCGAAACTTTCAGGTCCTTCTTGGTCTAGAAACATTATCGACATCCGACTGCTTGCGACCGTGTTAACAAGTGACTCAACAAGTCCAGGACATGAACCCCGGGTCAAAGCAACGTTTCCATCCACCGAGTGCTGGATACTCGTTGAAAGGATCTTTTTCTGCCTCCGCGACGTCGAAACGTCGATGGTCCTTGAGATTAAAGGACAAAGGATGAAAGCCTGTCCGCCTCGCATTCGTATAAAGACCTCCGGTCTCAAAGTTAACTGTTTCCTCGACCAGTTAAAGGTTACCTGGATAAAGTTCAGGCCAAAATGTTTGGCGCGATTCAGCGAAGGTTCTTAAGCTGTATTAAGAGTTCGCCAAGTTCATTACGTAAATTCATCTATATGGTATCCCCGCTAATAGGCACGCCATTAAATGGATGCTAAGACGATTACCCGAGGGATGGATGGCCCTTTTCCTGCGGCTCTCTTTCTGGCGAAGTAAACTTTTTTGATTCGTAGCTACCTTCTTTTATTCCCACGAGTGTGCTTCACTTTGATCGAGGAGATTTCATTTCTGAAGATGATGCATCCCTCGAGGACACTACTGGACAGAGGGAGAGGTGTAGCCCGCTGAGTGTCCTCCTTGTTTCCTGAGGGGACAACATTGAATTATAGTAGACAATTGACCCGCTTCGGTCTCTATATTCAGAAAATTGAATTTCTTTATTGCTTCCACGATGTTTCAGCTTCATAGAGTGGCTGTTCCACTCCATGTTCCACAGCCACTGTGGAGCTAACCGCTAGGGATCCCTAGATCTTAAAAGTAACTAGAACCACTGAATCCCATTCAGCCTCTTCTCACCCAATGGTCCCTGGTCTTTTGCTTTCAGCATATCGGTGATATTTAGGGTGAAATCGGCCAAGGCGGTGAAAATAACTGATGGCAGCCTACTGAAGCGTCTGGGGGTCATCGTGATGATATTCAGCGTGTTCCTGAGTATCCGCACCCTGGTCGCACCACCTGTGGTGATAGTTGCACGAACGGCTGATGATCTGAAGGCTTATCTCTGCCGAACCGACTGGTGGGATCACAGTTTTACCACACGTGAGTGATTTACATTGCTCTATTTTTTTTTTAATTTACAACTGGTTGTTCGGGGTGGGGGGGAGGAGGATTCTCGTCAAACCACTTTCATCATAAACTCACCTAACATAAACTGAGAACTACTGCACCACTTACAATTCTTGATTCATTTCACGAACCTCGAAAAAAGTTTTTTCCCCAAAATTTGCAACAACAAAAATTCGTGCACGAACAGAAGAGAATTTCAGCTTTGGACACGAGCCAACGGAGAGCTCGTGAAAGCTTCTATTTGTTAAAATTTCTGGCTTTATTCCCAGCACTCGATCACCTTAACCTTTATCCAATAAAATAGATGGATATGTGTCCCTCGAAAAAAAGAATTTCATTGGAATTTGTCAATTTTACTTAAAAACGATATTGTCCCATTCTCGACGCAGGATTTCTTTCATTACCATTCACCGGGAACTAATTAAATTCGTGGTGCGAATGGACAGAAACGATAAGTTCCGAGGAGAAATAATGTTAATTAGCTCGAAACTCGTGTTAAATTTCATGGAAATAATATCAGATTACTCCCGGCAGACATTCATATAAACCGTTCTCTTCTGCAGGTGTCATGCTTTTGTTGTGTTATTTTAGTATTCAATTATATGCTCCTTTTGTTTCTACTTCGTTATATTGATAGTCTCCTCTGCTTTGCTTGTTGCGTATTGGATTGCTTTCATGAGGATTCCTCCAGATATTGTTACCACGTTACAACTACAATATTTATTTCCTTACAAAATGTAACTTAATTCTTTTTAATTATAACCTTTACTTCTATATATTTAAATTTCTTTTCATTTATCTGTGGATATTTCAACATTTTTGTGAGGTTATGTGAGCCACCATATTGCTTACGTCACAAAATGGCCTCCATACAAATTAACCTAACCTAACCTAAATCCACATTGAAAGTTTTTAATTATTTGAGTAGGTATTACAATAAAAAATGATTATATATTCATTTATAGAACCTACTTGCTGAACTATGAAAGGAAAACCTAACCTCTGATAACTGTCCTTATTTGATTCCACTGTGAAAGGGTTAACATTTTATCAGAACCATTATTGCGAGACTCAATATTCTCGCGTCTTTTCAAGCAACGGAAACTCGATTTTCGAATATCAGTCCAATCGATAGATACGTTTCGAGGTAGTCTGAGATTAAGATGACCCGATATCAAAGTGCATACCAAAGCGACGTTTCCATTCGATAATGACATCAAGATTCACGAAACTTAAAGAGTCGCAAGATATCTGAAATTCAAAATCAAGATATTTTATAGAAAAATTTGGAATTTAAGATCCACAACTTAAATTAAAGGGAAAGAATGAAATGTCACTCTTTCTTTTACTATTTTAGGGCCTGTGAAATATTTTCGAAGAATAGTTGGAAAGATAACTGCATGGATAGATTAAAATAGGGAGCCTCGTACTTTGAGACACCCTGTATATTTCAGTCGATTCATTGGAAACACGATTCTTTACTCAAGCTGGACATATCTGTGCTAGACACCATCAATTTACAAAACAACCCAGTCAACGTTCATCGAATATTTTTGCAGCTGGTAATCTAATCGAGTTCGACCATTTACTGAAATGGAAACAACGTTTCGTACTCAAATAATTTATGAAGGGAGAAACTGCAGTCATGTTTGAAAATGTTTTCTGAAAGCTGCAGTAAATAGTGACGGTCTCCTTTCAATAATTTCAACGTCAAATTTAATTTAAAAAAAAGAAAGAAACCTATAAAATTTTATTTTAACAAATATTTGAAAATTTACAACAAAACATCAGAACGATGCTAGAAATTCCATCTTATCGTTTCTTTTTCTTTTTTACAATTTGTTGATAATACAGTTAGATACACGTGATGGACGTTTTCCCAGGATTAAAACTCGTGGCTGATGTTGTTTCTGGATCGAACAAATCCGCGATGTATGTCCCTTTCATCGAGTCCAAACACGATCGTAAACGTTTGTTTGTACAAATATCACGGTATCGATGTAACTTTTATCCGGTCACGAAATGTTTACCATCATTTTCTTTCTCACCGAAACATTGGAGAAATGATACAATTTTAATTTACTTCTGATTTATCATCAATTTCTGGTAATTATCCGTGAACAAACATGTTATATCGATGGAGAAAAGTGTTTGTTTAACTTCGATTCGAACTTCCTGTTATCTGCACTGGGAAAATAAACCGTGGATCCTCTTCCTCTCGTTTATAATAATGGTAACTGGCTAATGGAATAAATGGAACGACCTTTCGTAATAAACTCTGTGTAAATGGGAAATATAATTTTACATTATTAAAAATGATTTTTAGGAGAAATATTTGAATTAAGAAATTAAGGAATGCGTAATAATTGTCAGCTTACAAATTTATAAAAGCAATGATAGAAGTGAAGATTCAAATAATTGTACGTTGATCAAGATATTCCTGAAAATCCTGCTAATCCGATGGCCCAGTAATATTCATCCCTGGGATTAAACATCAAACTAACTGAGAATTCCTCGCTGGCAAATTGCTCGTGGAAGGATGTAGTTATTCCTTAATACCTTTATCTGACAGACGGCATAATGCGATAGTAGCGCCACCTAGATCCTCGGAGAACGATCTGACAAAAGCACTATGATAGGATGTACCAGTACCTCCAGGACATTTCCTCTTCCTCATATTCTTGTTAAAATTCCTCATTTATGACTGATATTAACCCTCACACTTGAGATGAATTGAAATTCATCTTTACCTCTTTGTCTTCAAGGGAGGACAATCCTTAATCCCAACAGTAACTGCATCTATTAAAATCCTTAGAATATATTCGATTTTAAAATACCGAGTCCTATTCATCTTATGGGGGGAGGCATTTCTATTAATCGATTGCAAAAAGAATTATTTGCCCATGCAAACACAAGTTTTGAAAATGGTAGATAGTAAAAAGGCATTATCCTCCATTGTCCTAAGTCCTAAAGGTAAAGATGTCACTGAAATCTGTTTACCAGTTAAATTCCACAATAAATGGAGAAAATAGAAATAATACACCATAAAATTAATGGAAAGAGTAAGAAAATGATGGCAGCTAAATTAGAGAGTAAATCTGTTTGGTCTGAAAGTTCTGTCAGAAGGACTGGTAGAACAGATTGGGTATAAATTGATTGATCTCATTACTAATTATTGAATATCGTGAATAAATGGTGGAAAATATTCCCCCTTAGGAATGGTAGGTTAAATCTAGACTAATTGGCTCCATGAATAATTATCGATCGTAATGAATGCTTTCCAGAGATTTTCTTCCAGAGAAATTTATTCGGATAAGCTGATGCTATCAATAAAATACAAATTTTTAGAAATATATTTCAATTTACCAGAGAGAATAAATTAAATTAAATATAGAGGTTATGAGAGATACAACAATATTGTATTTTAATAAGGACAATGATTAAAGACCTTTGTTATTTTTAGAAATCCTAAAAAAAGGCATCCTAGAATATGATAACCAAAAGCAAAACTAAATTGCCTCCATTTTGTTGCAGTTGAGGTTATGTTCCTGATATGGGGTATCAGATTATGCATCGTGGTGAGAAAAACACCGTCAGAGTTTAATGAAAGCCGTTTCATCTCGATGGCGATTTACAACGAATTTCTACTGTCAGTCTTCCTCAACGTTTCCATGTAAGTACTATCCGCCATTTTGTACAAGATGGTACTTCAGATAGATCCTAACCTTAATTAAGAATTGTATCATGTTTCTGCAATCTGTTTCATTTTAAACACTACTTTAGTCCTTCATAACCTAAAATTTAGAAATACAATCTTTCAAAATTATAGGTTAGTTTCAAAAAATCAGAAATATAACACTGATCACCTAACGAATCGTTAATTTCAATAATGTATTCGGCCCATAGCCGGCGGTCGTTTCTCGCGAATTGGAGCGGAATGCCGGAAGTGGTTGTGGTACGGTTTGGGGCGCACGTGTTTCGCATAAATAATGCTAGCAGAGTGCAGCAGCATCCTTTGCCGTCCGCTTGAAACGGTATCGAATTAAGCCGAACGTTTTATGAGAGGTTAGGGTTACATTTTCCCCGGGACCACCTATTACGCCTGGCTGGAGCCAAGGGAACGTTAACCTAACCTCTTACCGCTATTGCGTTCTTTAACGTTAATTGCGCCCACGAGGTATTCGGGCAGAAAAATTGAAATGGGAAAAGAGGTTGAGCTCCCAGACAATTACTATTATGTATATCGCTCTGATTTCTTTCTGAGACACGAAAGACCCTTTTAAGCAAAGTATGTAACAAAAAAAGTTGAAAATTTATCACTAAATAGACGTAAGACCTTCGGTGATAGAAATACGGTAAAAGGCCCGTTCACACCCGTGCAATCTTTCTCGTTGCAGGTTGTTCTTGCAGTCGCCGGCCAATCCGGATTTATTGTACGTGATATTTTTCTGTCACACTCAGCTTACGGTGACGCTGCTGCTGTGCCTCATATTTGGCAGCAAGGTAAGACGCGAGGATCGATCCCGTTCCCCTGTTTTCATGCGGTCCGCGACGTGACAAATGGCGGTGAGATCCTCGGGTCCTGAAGTCTGCGGCCAACCGGCGGAATTTATTTATTTCACGGCGCGCATATTGATCAGCTGGTAACAGCGCGTGGCCCCCCCGCATACCCTCTTCCGGGTTGCAACTTGTAAACTAGTCGAACAGCCGCTGTCTAATTTATTTTCACTGCAGGACGGCGATGAAAAATCGCTGACCCGTGGCAGGTTTCCCACGGTTTAAACCGAACAATGTTCTAGTGCTGTGATCTAGAATTTGGATTATATGGGTATTTTGCCATTTGACAAATGAACCCAATTAATACCCCTTAGGTTCAGAGACTTCTGTGTTACTAATAACCAGGATAGGTAATACCCAATCGTTTAGCCTTATCGGTTAGTGCATCAATGTGAATTGGACTTTAAGTTCAGCAAACTGCTACTTAACTTTGGCTGATTAATTCATCTGAACCTTCAGACTCTTTGACTTCAGCGAATCGTTAGGATTATACTGTACCTGTGATCCCACTTTTTGTGGGGTGGTAGCCGGGTTAATGAATCAGTGTCGCGAGAGTTTTTGTGGGAAAGTTTCCTAGGACCTTGGTGTCAATGTACCGAAAACGTCCCCCAAGTGACGTCGTATTAGCTAGACTTTGGATTTACGACGCACGTCAGTCGCTGTCCACCGACAGGACAAAAGCTTTGAAAGGACGAATGGTCTCCAAGGTCCTTAATTTAGAAAGTCCTGATCTCTCATTTGACCTACAGTGCCAGCCATTTTTCTTGGACCACTTAGTCCTGGGCCGTCGCTGAAAAACAACGTTCTCCCACGTAGGCCTTAATAGCCGCTGCGCTCATTTGGGAACGCCTTTGTATTTTGACAAGGATTTAGCGGGGATTGATCTTATAAATCTTCGGTGCAAAAACTAAGACGGATTTTACTATTGATCAGATAGGTGAATATTGAAAGGGACGACGCTGAAGAAACGAGGTTCCATTCAATTCACTTTACTCCCAGCCCCTCCGGTGCAGCTTTACGGGCTACAAAAAGGGGAACGTCTGTCTTCTGCACCAATCTGCTGATTGATTTGCGGAGGAATCCTCTGTAGCGGTTAACAGTGCGAGCAGCTTATCCGTCGGTAAAGATGTACTTCTATTATCTACCTAAACGATTCCAGGTTTTCCCTCGCTCGTTCATGTGCCATTTCTCTATAGAACTTTGACTGTTCGACAAAGCAAATGTTCCATAGAGTTCAATTCAGGTTGATCCATAAATTGCAGCCGGCGTTGACATTAGCCGATGTACATTAAGGACTATGATTTTAGTAAAAGCCAGCCAAGTATGTCTCTCGCTTCCATGTGGTCACGGGACACGGGGTCGAACAAACTTACCGCCGTTGGCCAGATTTCTGACGGAAGTTCGAACAACGAAACTTCGCCATTTGGGCGAGGGCGGAGGATCCCCGCGAAAAACCGAGTGTCGACGAGACTGAAACTTGCCTGTTTAATGTAGGCCTACGTGGTGTTCCGTAGCGGGGGCAAGGACGACTCGAAGCACTTCGGAGCCACCGGGAAATTTCTGGGAAAAAGCAGCCGCCCAGCGGGCACTAGCAACCAGACGAACTCGATATCACTTCAGCAAGGAAACTTCACCGACGAGAGCGACGGTGCGACGGTAAGAACTCTACGAATCAGCCAAGTTCTTGCTTTTGCCTCGTAAAGTGTCCAAGTACGTTTCGCGCCATATGCTTCCGCCATTGGGCTAAGTAATAAGCAGTTTGAATCCAGGGACCATGGAATCAATATATGGCTGACCAGGACCAATTCAACTTCCTTCCATAAGAACTAGTCCTGTAGATTTAAAACCGCACATAATAGATGATTAATGTCCTTGAAACAAACGTAGACAGAGTTTGCCACACGATCATTCATGTTTCGTAATTCCTGATAAGGAAGAACTCGTTCAAGATCAATCATGGTTATCATGTGCACAGGGACACCCTATACATCGCTGGCACACCGTGCAAGCAAATACCGATTAATAGTCATTGAACCGTCGTGACCCATTGTACGAAAAGCCGATTAATAGAACAGCGTGGCGCGTTAATTACGATATCGGGGCTATAGATGCCGATTTACTAATGACCCTCATTGTAATCCCTTTAGAAACTTACGGACGACATGAATCAACCTAACCTCAAAAAATTATATCCGAAATATTCTGGGATTTTTTAAACCCTCGTAATGGATGCAGGGTTATTTTGACCCATCCATAGATTTACTTTATTACTAAATTTAGAAATCAATTGTTCGATGGGAATTTTAAGGTTAGGACGGATCGATTAAAACCTAACCTCCTAAATCCCGATCGTGGTTCAGGGAATCGGCTTTCAACGACCGACCAAACGTGTACGAGGCATTTCAGCTCTGGTTGCATTAGTTTTGACAAAAGGGATCGCACGATAAAGGCCGAGCAAGAGAACAAATGTCATCCTCGAGGCTTTTAGGGCGGCAAAGATTGCCAGGCCGGTGGCAAAAAGCCTGGAAAATTGCGTCGACCTGAAAGACACGGTCGGTGAAACACAGAAAAAAGAGGGATTTAACTGAAACCTCATGCTTTGACATTCGACTGCCGATGATAGACCGAGAGACTAGTTTCTCGTCGATCGACCAACTTTTCAATCCCTTTCAGTTGGTAGAGATTAAATGAAAAACAAAGTCGACAATATTCATTGTTTGTAATCAATATTCATTGCTTGTAATCGACTAAATTTCTTTTTATTTAAATAATTTTTATTTTGAAAATTTATTTATTTTGAAAAATTTATTAGGTTACGCTGAATAAGCCTCAACTTTTAATCCATCGACATTAAACAAAGAACGAGTTCTTTTGCTTCTCTCATTGCAATAATTTGTTTATAATGGGCTAATTAGCCTTTTAGTGGAGTATTGTTCTGTGGAATTATTTTCTGTTTTAAGGTTAGATAACGCTGAATAACCTCTTTACTCGAATGTCGAAACATAACAAAGTAAATGGTATTCGTGGAATGGTCAAACTTTAATTAAACCTTCTTCTTCGTTTCGTATATAGTCACTTTCGAGGTTAAACCGTGTTCTTTTTTTTTTCTAATCTCTTTAGAGACACTGGTGTATACATATACGTTTAACTTTTTATTTTAATTTAAAGCTGCTTGGGAAAGATCAATGTAAATAAATGTCCTCTGAAATATTCTCTTTAAAACATTCTACAGTATTTGAATAATTTTTTAGGTTAAGTGTCTCTTGATTCTTGAAGATGGCTGATAATTATGAAGGTTCATTTTTGAGATAACCTATAAAACACGATCATTAGTCATTTTTCTTTTAATGTACTTGTTGCATTGAAGATAGGAAAGACCTTATTCGTTATTAACAAATAAAACAAGGGATGCAGAATCCAGTCTTTTAATTAGCATTAGCCTAGATTTATCAGCTCAACCTTCATGGTCACCTTAAGCACCTTTTGGAAACTTCATTAGGAAGATCTGCTTGTTAAGCGGATTTCCTTTAAGCCTCCCCTTTACGTGACCCCCCATGAAATCAAACGATTATTTTTAATGGCGCTATGATCTTCGTTTATTTTTACTTCAAAAAAAAAGATCAAAAACATTTTTAAATATTTCCATGTTCCAATTTTGTCAAACATTTCATATCTCTGTAATGTCACGTTTGAGTGACGTTATCGACAGAACCATAAATTTATCTGTGGGGCGTTGATTGCGTTTAATTATCGTACGAACTAACAGCACGATGTTTGAATCAATGGCGAAGCAATTAAGGGTAATCTGTTGTATCCATAATTATGAAAATACTCAAGATCAACAAGACGTGACCAGTTGGTGACTATATTGTTAATTAATTATCATTTAATAATGTCTGGTTAGTGTTTGCATTCATTATTGATTGTAAACCGTTTGAAATATGCTATTTGTAAATCATTTGTCTCATTGATGTGTTTGGCAGCTAGGGATTCACTAAACGTCACTAGAATCCCCCAGCATCTGGTCCCATCCCTTACTAATCTATTCCTTCTTCTCTGAAATGTTTCAGGAAGAGTTTCGACGTTTCATCAACCAATTGGAAGTACTGAAAGAGAAGAACGTTCTACTTGGGAACCATCATTTGGTGAACAAGCTGGCAGCAATGCAGGAGGCTGCCAATCGTGCTGAGACCCAGGTGTCCACCATCCAGGCGATCTCTTCAAGTATGAGACTGAACGATCTGAACGGATCCACAGCAATCGCTGAAACGGAGGTCGGAGAACCTTACAAGAGCGACGAGAAAGGTAAGTCAGAGATCAGTCCATTTATGTTCATGCTCATTTACAATTGGACCAATCATCCGAATTACACTACAACGTACATCATGAATAGTAAGATCCTAATTAGAAAATCTATGAAAAATTTACTTTGGCTGAAACAATGTTAAAAAAGAGACCTAGAAATGTAAAAAACCAATCAGAAAAACTTCCAAAATCCTTCAATTGCCAAACACCTCAACATGTCTACACTGATCCTTCACGAAGAAGACCATTCACTACTCAGCAACAAAACCATCTTCATCATTTAACCACCCCACATTCGAAACACCTGGCGAATCTCCAGGTGGGGATACCAAAGAGAAGAGGTGCCAGGCATGTATAGAGAAGAATGGGATCAAGAGCAAGGATCAAGGATCCTCTAAGGACGCCGAAGTACTGGTGTCCGTAGAGTCGAAGAAGGCCAGGAGGACCAACGACGTGGCGGTTTCCACTTCTGGTAAAGCGACCACCACAGAGGACATCGGGACGGAGACGAAGCTCGATGAGAAGGAGAGCGATAAAAAAGACAAGAGCAAAAGCAAATCCGGCCACGCGAGGACACACGCCATTGTCATCAACTTGGATGACAAGAGCAGGTTCTCCGAAGAGGTCACCGTTTAAGATGATCAAGTGTGTTCCTGTGAACTGTTTCAATTATTGTCTTCTAGGTACAATTTCAAAAGGTACGATGAAGTAAAGTGAAATTTGGGTAAGGAGAAATTTTGGTTTAGGAGATTATGGGGCGGAGAAGTTTAGATTCGGTTCTTTTCTCAGTGATTGAAGAAAAACTTATATAGCAACTACAGATCTAAATATTCATGAATGCAGGTTGTCGAATTGTAAAAATACAAATTTTCTTGAAAGGTTTCGATCGTTTTGATCACCTAAGAGGAAAGTTGTGATATAATACTTCCTTGTATGCAGTAATTAATGAAGTAATTGATCAAGAAAAATCTTACAAAGTACATAATTCTTTAAAAAAAAATCATATGCCATTGATACTGTGGATTCTTCGCTAAAAAACAAATCGAAAAGTCCTTTACCATTTTTCAATCCGTGATTTAGTTTTTGAGATGCAAGCAATTGAAAATTGGACGTCCATATTGGCCGCCATATTAAAACATGGCTGCCGTATTCAAAATGGCCTCTACATTCAAGATAACCGTCAAACTTCAATTGTTCATATGTCAGCAACTAAGCCACGAATTGAAAAATGGTAAAGAACTTTTTCGTTTGTTTTTTCATGAAGAATCTACAGCATTTGTGGCATAAAACTTTCTTGAAACGCTCAGTATACGTAGCACAAGATATTTCAGCAGAGAGAGATAGAATATAAAATCTCTTGAAACATGATTTTGCTTTTCAACGTATTGAAACGAAGAAAAGCTAAAGCGACGAATAGCGTATCTTAGACGTCTGTTGTATAAAAATTTTCAATTTTTCAACTGATAAACGAAGACTTAAGGAACATTCGGTAGAGAAATGAGCCGAAATCTATAGTGTGAAGAAAAACACGATTTCGAAGGTGGAAAGAAACTTGCAAAGTCTATTCAGATGCACCATTCTCATAAATATGCATCACTGATACCGTCCCAGATAGAATAGGCTTCTCTTGTTTTCATTAAAACTTCTCTGGTCTATGGTAACTTTTCCAGTCATGAATAAATATTGACAGGAAAAGTTTGCTATCGATTCGAAATCAATTGTTAGCCGCTGAATTCGATCATGAATAAATGTTCACAACAAATTTCACAGATGTCTGCAAGGAGTATTAAAATTTTCAATTTTTCCACGGTATTTTTAATCCGTTAATTAAAAACTTTTCAATTTCGCATTGGACCACGTCCACTTAACTTCACAGGCTCACAAACTTTTTTCTCATCGTCCGAACGTTACCTAATTTAAAATTAATCTCGTTCCATGTCGATTTAGCAATTTCACAATATTTTCATCTACCACTTCGAGGTCGAAGTTTTATCTGGGACACACTCGTTCATCAGCTACGAAAGTGATCGGTCGAACCTCGCGAAGCTTTCTGTAAATATTGCCGTTAGATGCTTATTCGAAGTCTTCTGCCGTATATTGTTAAGTCGATTTTGTAAAAAAAAAAAAAAAAAAAGACACTAAACGACGATCTATAGATCGAGTGAGTAGAGGGGCGCCATCTGTCTCTCTATCTTTTTCTCTCATATCAATCCACCTGTTGTAAATATACGTTTGTAAATAAATGCGTCATGCGAATTTGCCATTAGACCGTAACGATCGGTTTTATTGTTAAGATCGTGCGTTAGGTGATCTCACGGACATTTTTAGGTTATAATTCACATGTGATGACACGTTTCGTCGCATGGCGTTGATGGACGGAGATGTTGGGAGGTCAGAGCATTGGGGGGGGGTATCGATCTGAATAAAATTACTTATTAAAATTAATTTTTAATTGTTACAATTGTACTGCAAAAGTAATAAGATATCGAGTAAATGGATATTTAATTTTTCAGCTGGGTATTGTTGCTGATGGCAGGGAATAAGGCTAACGCTTTATAGTATTGTATTGTTTTCACATTGCCGTTCATTAACGCCACACTATACGAAATTCCTCTTATCACGTAAATTTAATTATGCATATCGGTCTATCGCCTCGATCTTCTGGGAGATGGTTAGCTTCTGTGATCCACGAAAATTGATTTGACCCTCTTCGATGAATTAACCTCAAATAAATCGTTCATGGGAAATTGAAAAACAAAACGAGAAATAATTTTATTCGCCACTCAAGATTATTTCAATTCTCATCCTTTAACGAAACGAAGAAGTCTAAAAATGTATAGAATACATACATACATGTTGTTGTCATACGATCCGTCGTCGGATAAGTTCCATTTTAGGGTAACGTTGATTTTAAGAGAATCGATTTTATGTGACACTAACCTTGTCTGTAACTGACAAGCGTGTCAGTGAATAAATACGTGAATAAATAAATAAACGAAGAAAAACTTTTAGATTTTCTTAACTTTACTCAAAAAGTCTGGAAAATTTCATACCGATGGGCAATGATCACGGAAAGTATACCGAAAGGTTAGGTTAGGTGCCGCCTCATTGTCATATTTTCTTAGCCTTTCAACATTGGGTACCTTGGGACTTATTGTTTCGAGGAAAACGAGGCCATCTGCAATTGCGCCACCTTGTACATATTTGACAAGATGTCCTTGGTCCTAAGGGATACTGCATAATTTGCATCCTAACGAGGAGTATGTTTCTAGGTTAGGTGCGCTGCGGGGACTGGTCACAAGCATTAATTAAACTTGCAATATACCTACGGACGCGAAATTTGTCCCTGTCTAAATTAATTATCGTCCCACAGCATAGATAACTGTTTCAAATTAACTGTGCGCATTGCAACTTCGTTAATTCAATTCGTCGATGGAACGGTTGCATAAAGGACAGTATGGTGGCGCTAGTGGCGAATATATTGAGTCGCAGCCATTAATTACCAACAATCCGTGTTGCCGGAATCAGATCGTAATGACGGCACGGCAAACAATTCATTCGTGACTGTGTATCGTGCGTTAATAATCTACGCGTCGTATGCATGAAATTCCTCGACGCCATCGAGCGCAGCATGGCCGCGTTAATTTCTCCGCGACGCTGTCGCCATCTACGACGCGGACTCGATAGACTGGATTCATGGATCGTTGGGAAACAAACGTGTGCCGATATTAATCGACTAATTGACGCTCCTCTGTGAACCAGCATGGTTCGTTAGCCTTCTAATTGGACGATATTAGTTCGCCTTGTACCGATGTCTCTGGCGACACAACGGGAACAAAACTTTCTCTACGGAAAAGGTTAATTTTGTAACATTGATTGTCTCTGAATTTTTTATAGATATTTCTATAGCAGAGAAAGGAACAATAACGTTTGAGTTATACGCCGATGAAACTATGGTAGTAACATTAGCCAAGCTGTTGGCAAAGGAGCAACTTGTACAATTGTTCCCAGGTACAGTTTCCTGAATTGAAAAGCACTTTGGGGCGTGCTTTCGAATCCAAGAAACTGTTAAATTATGTAACGTACTCGGTTCCTTTAACTGGTGCATGAAACTTGTTGGGGTGTAAATGAATACAGACCGTCCGCTGTCGGACACAGTTAACAAACAATTAGCGAAAACCGGAGGAAGACTAGGAAACTTGGCGATTACGTTCAGGACACTTTAATTATACGCCAATTTGTCGCGTGAAACAAAGCTAAGGATTTAATTCCTTCACTTTTACCGCTATTATGAGCCATAATGCCTTGAAGGAAGTTTAGGCGCACTATGGTAGCAACATCGCTATCTATCATGTTATCACCTCAAAGTTCTTTACAGAGACGGTATATCAATATTTGATAGCTCAAGGCACATCCCCTTTAGGCTGTTCCTGCTTTTTGCATCAGAAGATGCTTTAGAATTAATCTTCCTAGGTCGAGGGAAAAAGGGAAGTTCAGGGTTGCGGGGGTGGCAGTGTCGAGACTTTTTCATATTTATAAACTGATTACCCACTTTTCAACTTGTAAAGAGACCCGCAGACACTCAGGACGGATAAACCCGTTGGTAATTTGGTGTCTAAATTTCAGATAGGACGAGGAGAGAAACGATTAAAAAGTTTCTGCAAGCATAGCTCGTTTACCCGATATGTTTGCTCTTACAAAATCCAACAAAGACCAACTTTTATGAATAGCAAACTAATTACGAATGCTCCAGCGCTGGCCCTACGGTGCTTCCTGCTGATGCTGGTCCATCAGTAGGAGTTGATGGTGCCAGCTTCCCAGTGCTGGTCCCTCGGTGCTATTTACCCATGATGCTGGTCGGTACTGGTCCTCCAGTGCTAATGATGGTAAGACCTTTATTAATATTGCTGCTACTATTACTATTACTACTGTAACCGTAGTTCAATGTGACCGAGGAGGAAAGGGCCAACCCAACTGAGTTGCCTGGGGACCTTACTGAATATGCACGCTTTATGTAAGATTTAGCAAAGGCGTTTATTCTCTTATTGCTTAAACCTACACGGTCTTACAGTTACAGTTCGGGGTTTTTAAATTTATGGTTCCGAGCCGTCGCGGTGGCCATAGAAGGTTCCCTTGGTTGGTGGCTTTCGCCGGGCCAGAGGACCTTTAACCCGCTCGCTGAATAGCTTCCAGCGACCCGCGCTCTTGCGAGAAAGGGCCTCGCCGGTCGTAGGTCTCGCCGGTCGTAGCCCTCTCGCGGCCGCCAGTTGAACTCGCGGCCTTTCTACGCTTCGGTCTTGTGCGTGGGCACTTGGCCTCGTGCCCGTTACATTATTGTGACTGCTGTCGCGCTTCCCTCACTTAACAATGAAAGAAACTTATCCCTATACCCTAAAAGCAGTTCCTTAGATATCTAGGTATAGAAAATTTCTTTTCTTCTCAACAAATAATCCTAATCCTTCAGAAAGAAGTACTTTCGACCCGGTGCCTAACAGTAACAGAATATACCTTTCTATTTGTTCAATTATCGACAAATCACATCCCTCGTCGGTGGATCGGACAAATCGAATTAATTCTCGGCCGACGGTCCATCTTACCGACAGAGCAACTTTCTCTTCGATAATGTCGGTTTTTAGGCGAAATCGTGACCGGTTTAGCTCCGATAGAGCGATCCGGGTTAACTTCGTTGGGCACTTCCTCACGGTCCGGACCGATTAATTTGTCCAAGCCGAGGAGAAATCGTCGTGACACGAGCGGAGCGTCGTGTATCGATTCTCGCAGAGAACGCGTCGAAACATATAGAGCTACTCATTTTTCTGGACCCGGGGTCTAATTGAAAGTCATCCTCGGGCGAACACTTTCGTCCGATGGGGCACATAAGTTTTGAGGGGACAGGAATGTTCATTTACCGGCAGATTCCTCTCGAATTTACGACTTGACGTAGTCGACCGAAAAGATTTGTCGAGCACGCGGACCGATTTTATGACAGGGACCTGACTTTTTTCTATCCTGAAAATCGATCCTGTTCATTTTTCAGGACCGAAACGAACCGGATTCGCTGAAATATGGAGAATTTACAATCACCTTCTGGCTTCTGAACGTGCATCTTTATTACTGTTGACTTAAAAAGTTCGATGGATTTTCGCTTCTTCGATGAGCTTCGCGGAAAACTTCGAAGCTTCAAAGCTGCTTCCCTATGATTGAATTTTCAAATTTTGAATTTTCATTAGAAAATATTGTTTCAAATCTGTAATACCAAATGTTTTATGCAAATCCAGATTATTCCAAAAAGCATTGTTCTGCTTTTAATACCAAATTCGGTATGTTAATTTTTAATTGTCAATTCCATTGTGCCATTGCATAATGCTTTCCCCGGAAATTACTACAGTTTTCATGCCACTTCCGTTTGCCATTGGCCAAACGATCAAACGATACGATAAGCTCTAATCAATGCCTGGATAATAAACATTTCTCGGATTCCTGATTGCAATCGAATTTGTTCATCCGAATTAGAACTATTGACCCGTTAATTAACAGTGCAATTTACGTTCACCCAAACAACAATAAAGACTGCTGCACGATAAATGAGTGGATAAATTATACTTTGAAGATCTAAATGATGGCAACAGTTTGTCAAATTTATAATGAACCTTAATTTTTAGACAATTACAATTACTTGATAATATAATAATTTCAACCGCATGGGAACGAAAACGGATGAGGTTGGAATGGTAGAACAGATTTGCATACAAAAGTGCGCGAGGAGAGGAGGTCTCACCTCTCGTATCGACGTGTATGAATTTTTCATTGAGTTCTCTTTCATTCGTCTTCGAACCCCTGAACCTAAATACACCATACCAAAAAGAAAAAGAAGATATTCGATCGAATAACTTTAAAACTGAGCAACAGAAACGTTGCATGGAATTTATCGGTAAATAATCAAATGGCAGTCAATTTTAACGGTTAATTACACAAGCGTTCGCGACTGGTCAAAGTATATCCTCCCAACATAATTTAACAACGTTTACCAATAAACGTCACGCGGGTCAATACTGTGCCTCGCTAACTACGACCTGCAGTTGCAAAATTATCCCGCAGTTAATGAGATTATAAGTTGCTGCGCGTTGACGAACTTGCGACCCTTGTTCTTACCAGCCATGGAATGGCCGGGGGCGGTGAAGCAAGGAGGAGCACCTCGGGCTTTCGAAAGTTAAGCAAGAGATTGTTCGTGATCCTTTTGATCTAAGTTTTATATATTATTTCAAATTGACAGTGAACTTTTCACTGTGGACTCTCCAGAGATTCATAGAGTACTATAAATGACCATTGGTTTAGGTTAGGTTAGGTTGAAAGGCATGTCCTGGAATATTCTATAAGCCTCTGTTAATTTATGTTAAGTCCAGATTTAAAATACGATATTCTATGTTCTGTAGAAATAACTGGAAAGGAATCCATCATGAAACGCAACATAACCTCAAAAGTAACCCAAGAAAGTCTCTCCAGAGATTCATAGAGTGCTATAAATGACCATTGGTTTAGGTTAGGTTAGTTTGAAAGGCATGTCCTGGAATATCCTATGAGCCTCTGTTAATTTATGTTAAGTCCAGGTTTAAAATACGATATTCTATGTTCTGTAGAAATAACTGGAAAGGAATCCATCATGAAACGCAACATAACCTCAAAAGTAACCCAAGAAAGTCTCTCCAGAGATTCATAGAGTACTATAAATGACCATTGGTTTAGGTTAGGTTAGGTTGAAAGGCATGTCCTGGAATATCCTATGAGCCTCTGTTAATTTATGTTAAGTCCAGGTTTAAAATACGATATTCTATGTTCTGTAGAAATAACTGGAAAGGAATCCATCATGAAACGCAACATAACCTCAAAAGTAACCCAAGAAAGTCTCTCCAGAGATTCATAGAGTGCTATAAATGACCATTGGTTTAGGTTAGGTTAGGTTGAAAGACATGTCCTGGAATATCCTATGAGCCTCTGTTAATTTATGTTAAGTCCAGGTTTAAAATACGATATTCTATGTTCTGTAGAAATTACTGGAAAGGAATCCATCATGAAACGCAACATAACCTCAAAAGTAACCCAAGAAAGTCTCTCCAGAGATTCATAGAGTGCTATAAATGACCATTGGTTTAGGTTAGGTTAGGTTGAAAGACATGTCCTGGAATATCCTATGAGCCTCTGTTAATTTATGTTAAGTCCAGGTTTAAAATACGATATTCTATGTTCTGTAGAAATAACTGGAAAGGAATCCATCATGAAACGCAACATAACCTCAAAAGTAACCCAAGAAAGTTACAAGAAAACGCCAGTCATTATATTTGTAGCATCACATTCGATATTTCTATCATTAGGGTCGTATTAAATTTCCTCGAAGAATGGATGAAACTGGAAACGTCACTTCTCGTCAAGCTCGCATTTTTCATCGAGCGTAGATAAGTGAATATCATTGAAGTTGAATGACGGATTGGCTAACGAGCAAATAGCGAACGGTTTTCCACCGTCGTTGATGTACCAATGATTTATTTCCTAGGACAAAATCGACCCGACCAGAAATTCAATTTCACCGTCGTTTCGTAACTTAATTA